AATCTCCCATCTCGTGTTCCTTTTCCTCTGCACAGATTAAGAGTCTCCTTTTACAGTTTACTTCTTAATGTACAGAGAGCTCAAGTGAGCAGACTGGGTTGCCTTTACTGTGTAAGACATAGAAGTGGGACTGAACAGTCTAGCGTTGAAGGCATTTGGTGGGAGAGAGCACTCATCAGAGAAGGTGTTTAGATGAGAACCCAGAACTGTTTCTACATTTTTTTCCATGTAAGAAGTCCTGCAAAAAAAAAGAGTAGACTTCCCTCAGTAGGTTTGGTTCCAGAAGACTGTTTAGATTTCTGTTAAACCTGTGTCAAAGATGGGCAACAAATTGATCATTTCCCATTCTACATAGCAGTAAGCTCCAGCTACCCAGAGAGTTTTAGGAAGGATCACGTAGGAGATGCCCAGTTAGCTGAGCAAACATGTCTTATTTCAGCTGTTAGCCTATTTCTTGGTGCAGACCTGAGGGCTTTTTGAGCTGGGAGATTACCTTTGAGCTGCGAGAACACCTTTGTCTCCTGGGGTGATAATTAAATACCCCAGCTTAAATGGTCATATCATTCGTTTGGCAAATGACATAATCATTCCAGTATGCAAAATGTTGTAACTTCAGCTGGTGTAGAAGTTAATAGAAAACTTGGATATTATTTAAAACACCTTTGTCCAGTTAGGCACCTACATTTCAGTTAGATACTTGAGAGGTCATATTCCAAGAATTAATGGTTTATTCATGCATTAAGTCATACTAGTAATTCTGTTTACTTCTATAAATTTGATCCAAGCTCACTGAAATAGTGCTAAGACACTGTTTCAAAGATTTGGATCAGGCTTTGAATGAATAGTTGCTTGTCTTGTCCTTGATTTTTCACGAGAATGGAATTTTGTTTTGTATATTAATTTAGTTTTTTCTTTTGATCTATTGCAGATGAGGGATTCATACCTCATTCTGGATGAATATGTAAGTCTCTGATACTTGGTATTTGTATGCTAATATATGTATGTATACAATACTGATAAACAATTCAATTTACTGTGAATTCTATAAAATAATTTTACCATGTAGTACAAGGAATAGATGTAATTTCTTCCCATCAAACATACTGAGAACTTGAATTAAGTATGACCTAAGGAGAAATTGCCATCAGGTTGCATGTATAATCATTACATCATGAATCTTAATGTGTAGATGTGTATCTTTGCAGGACATCTTTGCTGTTTTTCTTTAATTTAAAAATACAGAACTTATCCTGAAAGTTAAGTTTGAAAGAGCCTACTTAGTTTACATGTAACTGAAGAGCAAACATTTAATCTTCAGTAATTATGGTATGGCTTTGTTCCTGCTAAGATGCCTCAGTGTGTCTAAACGTGAGCTTCTGAGCCTTCTAAGGACTACAGTGAAACTGTTCATGCACTTAACATAGGCTTTCATAGGATTACAGTGCCACTTGTTTAATTCTGTAGAAAAATCAAGCTTTTAAAAATGTACTTTCTAATGTCTTATCTATTGATATTCCAGATGCGTTTCCTAAACTGTAGAAATGGACGGAAGGAGCCTTCCAAGTCTATCCTAGATGTTGGTGTAGAAGAAGCTATAAAATTTAGTGGATTTGATGAGAAGATGTTCCTAAAAAGAGGAGGAAAGTATGTGTGGAGTAAAGCAGACATGCAACTGGACTGGTAGCTTGGTATATTATACAGACTGATGTTCAGTATAACTCTATATGTGAACTTGTTAAATGTTTTTAGAATGTAGATTATGTTTTTATCTACTGTTTGGCTGAACATTACCAAGTACCGTCAGAGCTTTCATGTAAATAGATCTCAGAAATCAATTTTCTATTCCATTGTATGAAGGACTTAAGGGCAAACCGTTAATACAATGTCACACAGGAAACTGTTTTAAGATAATGCATAAGTGTACATGCCAGAAAACAAACCAAAACCCACCCCAATCAATTTTATTCATTATAAACAGCTGTAATGACATACATAAGTGGAAACTCTTGAATCAGTGAACCTATTCTGCCTCGTTCATATGGAAGGATGGATACAGTTCCTCACTAGATCACAAGAGGGCCACCTGTCAGTCCTTTGGAAGCAGCCCCTGCCTTTTTCAGGGGTAACAGAAGGTCAGAATCATCAATCATCTAGGAATCATCAATTTGTAATAATATATTTAAAAGGAAATCGAGATGAAAAAATTGGCAATTTTCATTCTTTAAGACTTAACCATAAAAGTGTCTGCTGTTGTTCTCCTTCTCCTTCATAGACACACATTACATTTCCAAAAATGTTGGGGGATGTGATTTTCTGTGAAAATGTATATTTAGTCATGAAAGGATATTGTATTTGTCCTAAAACTTAAAAATGCATTTTACCCAATGATGAGCAACTTCTTCTTTCACATTGGCAATGGCCTTAGTGCTAACAAATATTTACAGTGAAAACAATGTTTGCATTTTATTAATAACTTCCTCCATTTTCCTTTTATCTGCAAACACTGATATTTTGACGCGTTCTTATCTCCCTGTACATACAGTTCTGATGAAGGTTCCTTCTGAAATTTATCAATACGACATAGCACACCTAACGTGTATCTTGTGTTGCACGCTGGCAGTGTTATTTGAATGCTTTTTATTTTGCTAAGCCATGGAATTACAAACAAGAAAGTTCATATATCATGTAACCTTGTTTTAAAGGTTGCTTCGCTCAGTAATCGTTGTTGCTTGCTGGTTACAAAAGTGCTGGTTACAAAAGTGCAAATCAAGTGAAACTCATTTGGTTTCGTGACCGCTGTCTCTGGTGTTAAGAGCTGACAGCATCAACATAAAATAGAGAAAAGTTAAAACCCCTGCAAAACCACTAATGTAATATGCTGCCCTTGTTCTTGGTTTTCTGGCAATTGTTATGGCTTTATAATTGCAGGTTTCCAAATTTAGCTAGTCCCATCCCCGCCCCGCAAAGCTCTGTATGAAGGGTAGGGGAATAAGCGTTAGAGAAAGCAGAAGTGAGCTGGCACAACTCATTTGTCTTGTCCATTGAACTCAATGGCTGAACGGTCTCACACGTTTAAATCTTTGCAGCAATTGGGAGCCATCATGCATCAAATGTGCCGTGTAGAGAAATTTACACCATCTTTCATCTTTCTGATAATGCTAGTTGATTTTTTTAAAGACGGTTTGCATTGACCTAATGCATCTTCAAAGTTGAAGGGGAAAGCCCTTAAGTAGGAGCTGCTACTTCTGAATAAAGGAAGGTGCATCTCTGAATACACTGTGAAAATGTTTCCATTGATAATTCCTTCAGTTTCTATTTTTGCTATCCTAACTGTGAATACACTGTCTCAGTGGTGCTCTTTTGTCTCTGTATTTTGCATTTTGCAATCACAACGCTTCCTAGGCACTGACATTTCAATATTTTTTTTCTTGTATTAATACTAAGTGACATTTAAAATGTGGCCCACACACATTAACCCCACAGTCTTTTGGCAGCTGTTTCGCTGACCTCGGTTGGAGTTCTGCCTGAGTAGCAACTATGGGCAGTGCAAATTTATGTAACTGTGGGGTTTGACTTCCTCTACGTTCCATTGCTCAAATGTTAAATCTAGTCTCTTCCTTCTACACTGCATGATAGAAAAGAAGCATTTTCCTTTGCTGCTGGCTCATTCCCAGCATGGGGAAAGATTTAGTGCATCAATGTACCAATAAATCTACCAGCTTTCTGCTTCTGCAGAAAATGCCAGCTGTATCACAGCACGCAGATGCGAGGCACACAAACTCCCATTCAGTCCCAGAAATCCTGCCATTCTTTGCTTTGCATTTTACTCTGTAAATGGCTATTCTTTTGCTGCAAGAGGTTCTCTGTGCCTATGGGGGAAGCTGCAGGATAAACAAACTGGAGCTGAAAAATCTGAAAATCCAGTAAAAAAATTAAAAATTAAAACATTAAAGATGGCTTTTATCAGAAGGTTCTACATTCTTAAGGATTTTACATTGCCTCTTGCTACCATGAATAATTAAGAGAAAGGTTCTGCCCTGTGTGATACTCTTTTCCAAAGGAGATGCCATTGGAAATGAAGAATTTGACATAACACAGTTTGACAGGCAGTCACTGAAGTTAATGAATGGCTATTGGGTTTTTTATACGCAAAATTCATTTTTGTGTAAAATCTCAAAAAAATTTATGGCTACAGTTTGATTTTTTTGTAATCTACAAACACAGTTCATGTCAGACCAAACCCAGACTTTAGGCTTTCATTCTGTACTTGGTCCCAACTTTTTCAGCATGGGAAAAAGTAATACTGAATTCAATAGGGCTACTCCCAGGCTTAGAGATTACATGTACATTGTGACCCTGAAGAGTCAGGATTTAAATTTAAGTCCTGTAAACAAAGGTATGCTTAATTCTATTTTCATGTGTAATCTCATAGTACTGCATGTAAACACTTGATAATGATGCTGAATTGGGAAGGAATTTACAGTGTAGTTTACTAGCATTATGCCGCTTTTCATATTTGTAAAATTTGTAGAGAATGAGCATTTGGGAGAATGATCAGTTAAAATGATGAATACACCTTGAGTAATGAGTAAAAGTGTCATTTAAGATGCATTTTAAGATGCCCTCTTTTTCAGTGTGCAGGATGCTGATATATTTGAATGTTACAAATGATGAACTTTTAAATTACTCTGTCATGTAATTAGTGCTAAATATTTTCACGAGTGTCACACATTTCAATAAATGTTTCTATTTTTTTAAGTTTGTAATTTTTCTTTTTTATGTTATCCAGAACCGTAGTAGCAGAATGTATAACTGCGTTCACAAGAGATCTGTAATTCTGGGTGCAGCCTGTATTTAGCACAGGGGGCTGCTTGCACAGCGCCAAGGGCTGCACCTAGGCCGAAATGGAGAACAATAGTGGGGATTCTCCTTGTGATGAAAAGCATTTGTAACAAGCTTGAGTGGACTGGGCTGTGCTGGGGGGAAGACCGTTAAAATACCTTGTGCTGTTCAGATGACAGCCGCTACAAAAGACACAACTATCCATAAATACCTGAGGAGAGATTATCTTCTGTTACGGTAAATAAGGGAGAAAAAGCTAGTCAGCTGAGAGGAGTAAAGACAAGAGGCTTCTCCAGCTCATCTCCTGTCTTCAGGCCGCAGTATAAACTCTTGCACTAGACAGCCTGAAATTGAGCTGCTCACAGTAACTGGGTGTGCGTGCTGGGCGGCTTGGTGTTTCCCCCCCTGCCTATGCGAGCGGAGTGACGGTGCCCGGGAGCAGCGCCGCAGCAGGGCGCTTTACCCCTCCCGGCCCCGGGACCTCCGCAAGGTGCCTGCGGGGGCCGCTCCGGCGTGTCCCCCGGTGTCGCGGCTCGG